TTATGCCTTTTAAATTTTCTTTTTAGGCTTACAGCGTAATTGATATTTTTAATTCTGTTTCTTTTCTGTAATTAAAAAAATTGCTAAGAAAAATATTTGAATTTAATTGATTTTATTTATTTAATTTTAATGAATTTTGTATAATGATGTTTAATATTTAATCAGTTTGTTGTGTAATATTTAATATAATAATATAGGCCTATTTGAATATTATAGTATAATAATAATTGTAAATACTGCTTTTTGAGAATTAGTAATTTCCTTTAATTTATTGTAAGTTTATTTGTATTCTGGATTGTATTGTGTTTGCTTGTGTCTATTTTCTGTATGGTACGGTAGGCATCTTTTAAAATCAAAAAGTTTTGAATTTTTGTTGCATTTTGAGTGTTTTATACCGAAAAATAAACACATAAATAATAATAATAAATATACTTTTTTAGCGTCACCTCCCCCACCTGTATTTTCGACCCAAAATAAACATTTAGAGTCGGGATTTGTTTTTTAAATTAAAAAAATTAATAGGCCTATTGTCCAATAAATGCTAATCAAAATCAATATATTTTATGTGAATTAAAAAATTGATTTTCCAACCAGCTGTAATATTCATTGTAGGCCTATCGAAAATGATTAATATGAACACTTTTTTGTTAGTCTGAATGAAATTGAAAAAAGATAATTTCTTTGTTTTGATTTACTTTTATTTGATGTTGAAAAGTACAAATATAGGATCATGCTCCGTGGGTGTGTGAGTCGAGTGTTTCGCTTATGTATTCCAAGTTGCGTCGTCTAGGCATGGCACTGTAAAAGTAGCATCTAAATCCAACTAAAGCCACATTTACACTAGACACAATTGCGAGTCCATAGGCGTAGATCCCGGGGATGGGGGATATATCCCCCCCAATATTTGACAAGGGGGGGGATGGTCCATTGTATCATCCCCCAATATTTTGACTATGTGTGGGATAAAATGGAGCTTTACACACTTCAAAAGACTGTCACAGAAATAATTTGCACTGTCTTATGCGCTTACAAAGATGAAAATTAGCATAATGTATTAATGTTGATAACAAAATTATTTTATCTGGTACCAATCTAAGTTCTTCTTTCCTTAGATCTTAGATGTGCTTGCAAAGAGAGCCACATTTCACACTGAAGAGTGTGTACGACATCAGTTATGTTATGTCAATTCCAAGATTATATCGGTTGATGAGGAATTTATTGATTAGGCCTATAATAATAAATTGCATCAATTTATTTTGCAAAAACAAGGTTTCCAGCTTCAGAGGGGGTAACATCCCCTGTCCGCACAAGGGCACACATTGGCGCTAACACCAGGCGCGTAACAGGGGTCTTGGGTCAAAGTGGGTATTTATTAATTTTATTTTTTATTTCAACCATCTTTAAAGAGGGTAACCCTTCTAGTTTAGCCCAGTAGGTTAACTGATATTCAGGGCCCTCTTTAATAAAATTAAAGAACAGTACAAACAACATCAATA